GAATTTAATGATTTAGAAATAAATGTGATTGGTTTGCTATCTTGGCTTAATACTGCACCGATTGCTATGCGGGGCTGCTATATTTATTTGTGGCCTAGGTAACACTAACTGTTACCAGGCGCAATCTGGCATTTCCATTGGAAAGGTTGACATTTTTTAGCATAACATCACTCAGAACGTGTTGTCATTAAACTGTGAATTGTTTTATTTACAGAGACTTGAAAAATTCATCTCAGCCAAAAAATAGAATTAACGCGTGAACATTTTTGTGCGAACATTTTTCACAACTTTCGACATGGATTATCACGACAAGAGTGCATTGATGACCTTTAGTCTTTGTATGGCGGTGAAGCACCATTCTATAGCACTGTGAAAAACTGGTTTAATGAATTCAATCGTGGACGACGCTCGTTCAACGACGAATTCCGTGAAGGTCGTCCAAAAACGAACATTGATGCCGTGGGTGAACTAATAATGTAAGATCGTCATGTGACATACCGTGAGATAGAGGCATCCTTGGCATTTTCTCCCACCAGCATACATTCGATATTCCATTGTAATATGAAATTTACGTTCGTAAATTTTACAACACAAAAATATGATAATACAAAAAAAAATATATGATAATAAAATAAAACATCAAAACAATAATAAAACTTGTAAACAACGCACCGTTGCAATTACAAGAACAAATCTACTGTTTGCTTCGCACCTCGCGGATATAAAAGGCGAAGCAAAAGCGCAAGACAGGCATTCAGCAAGGCATCGAGCTAAGAACAGGTCGCTCCATATTATACATGCTGAAACACCAAGAATCGAAATTTACATCTCGATTTCTATTTTGTTTATTTTTTTTTATTTTTAATAGAAATACACATTTCTATTAAAAATTATTATTAATAACGAAACTAACATTTCGTTAGTAGTAATAGAAATATAAATTTCTATTACTTATTTGCTCATAACGAAATTACATTTTCGTTAATAAATTACTCGGTAAGGTGATAATAACACATGAATATTATCACCCATACCAAATCCATTGCAGAGAGAAGAAATTCATATTTCTTCAAAACACATTGTCAGGGGCGTTGAAATTAACATTTCTACGCCAAACTCATTGCATAGAGAAGAAATTTACATTTCTTCAAACATATTGTCAGGGGCGTTGAAATTAACATTTCTACGCCAAATCCATTGCAGAGAGAAGAAAGTCACATTTCTTCAAAACAAATTGTCAGGGGCGTTGAAATTAACATTTCTACGCCAAATTCATTGAACAGAGAAGAAATTCACATTTCTTCAAACATATTGTCAGGGGCGTTGAAATTAACATTTCTACGCCAAAGTCATTGCATAGAGAAGAAATTCACATTTCTTCAAAACACATTGTCAGGGGCGTTGGAAATTAACATTTCTACGCCAAACCAACTAACTTCACCGAGGAAGATAACCACATCATTGCACCAACGCCACCGGCCTCCGTGTATCCAAACTTTCCACTGCTCCTATCAAATAAATTTATTGTAGGACTGGACCTGGACTCCGGCGAGCAAAACCCCGGCCAGAAAGGTTCGTTACAGCATAAACACCTGGCCGTAAAAAAGATTTGTTCTCGCTGGATTCCGCAGAATGTGACAATCGCTCAAAAGAGACTCGTGTCGATTGGTGCAAAGAAATGTTGAAAAAATACGTTCGCGGTGCGTCAAAAAACGTTTATAAGATCGTCACAGGTGACGAATCATGGATCTATGCGTATGAGCCCGAAAAAAACAACAATCGACCATGTGGGTCTGCGAAGACGAGCCAAATCCTACGAAAGTTGTTCGTGGAAGAAGCACTTCCAACCAAATGGTTGCCTGTTTTCAGCAAAAATGTTCATGTGGCAACTGTTCCGCTTGAGCAAAGATCGACGGTCGGTCACTTCTGAGTGGTACACCGCAATTTGTTTGCCTGAAGTCTTCGCAAAAATTCGAAAAACGAACAAGAGAAGACGAATCATTGTTCACCATGCGAGCTCCCACACATTGGCTCAAACCAGTGACTTTTTGATCGGCCAAAACGTAGAATTGATGAGTCATCCGCCGTACACCCCTGACTTGGCACCCAATGACTTCATTTTTTTCCAGCACATCAAGAAAAAAATGCGTGGTCAACGATTTTCGTCGCCAGAAAATGCTGTTGAAGCGTTCAAAAACCATGTTTTGGAGGTGTCTCAATCGGAGTAGAAAAAGTGCTTCGACAATTGGTTTGAGCGTATGCTTAAGTTTATAAATCAGGCTGTAGATTACTTTCAAAAACAATAAAACAATTTTTGATGATAAATATTCGCATTTTCATTATTAGGACAGAAATATATATAGCAGCACTCGTATTATAAGCGTCGATAGTGAGAATAAATTTTTTTTTGAAATCTATTTGTGCCAATTCCACTCCGTTTGATAATAAGTTTTTCAATTTAACTGCTGCCTTAATTGCTTCTTCATCTAAATTGAGTTTTATCTTTTTAGACATGTGTTGTGGAATTTTTCCATTTTCACCAGATAAGTATTTGGTAAGTGGTTTAATTATTGACGCGTAGTCCTTCACAAATTTTCTATAATAACCTGTCATCCCTAAGGAACTTCTTGATTGACATAATGTTTGGGGAATAGGAAAATTGCGTGTTGTATCGATCGTTTTTGGATCGGTTTTAATTATATTATAGAAGACTATATAACCTAAGAGTTCAGCTTCTTGTTAATAAAATTTAGATTTTTCAAGTGAAATTTTCATGTTGGCATCTTTCAGGGTTCTTATTATTTCTTGTAAATATGTCTCATAAGGAATGTGAGTATACAATAATATCGTCTATATAGATATGACAAATTTTTCCGATATATTCTTGTAATATATCATCCATTGCTCTTTAAAAAATGTTAGGACTATTTTTTAACCCAAATGGTAGTCTTAAATATTCGTATTTACCATTATTTATTGTGAAAGCTGTTTTCTCAATGTCTCCTTCTTTTATTAAAATTTGGTGGTGTTGTATATCCTAATTGTTGTATATATTAAAAACTATATATTGTGTATCCAGTGTGTTGTATAGTTGTAATTTTTAAAATTAGTTTTTGTATATATGTACGCCCAAAATGTTGTGGTTACTCCATTATGCTACTTTAATAATACTGCCAAATTCTACTGATCTCTTATTACCCACATCATTTTAATTAAAAGATAGTCAATTAAATCCCTTTTGTTTGTTTCGGAATATTTGCATTATTTATTTATTTATCGATTAGTTACAAACTCTTATTAAAATATTTTAAACTTTAATTCTTCGATTATTTTAAAATATATCATCTTTTAGTTGTTACACTTAATTCAAAACTTTATTACACATCATATGTCATTAGGGCATTGTTTCATGTGTAGATATTCTAATATATTGCACTGTTCAGTTCGTACAAGAACTTTTATTTACTTATATCACTAGAACATTTTTATATTTCTTGATTTTAGAACTCAGAAATCAAAGTTTATTCCAGATTCAGATTTATCTAGGATTATTAATTCTTAGATATACTGCAATGTTTAATTCACTGCATTTTTTCTTAATTCTTTTCACTGACTTTCTTGACTGATTTCTTTTCTAATCTCACATCTTTTTCACTCTGCTAAAACTTAACTGCCCTAATTAAGAAAATAGACTCTATATATACAGAGCTGCTTTCACCCCCGCTTAAACTTTATCTAATATGACTTTTATATTAGACATGCCCCAATAACCCAGAAAAATTCAAAAATTAATTAAAAATTGAAATTAATTCTGCAATAATAATTTTGCCTAATTCGCAAAATTATTCATTCTACATATTTTACATTCTTTACCTTGTCACAATTTCTTTTCTCAAAGTCATTTACAATTGACACAGATAATAAATATTAACATAAATCAGCATTTCACTTCCACAATTTGTCTTACTGACTTTTTTGACTTTTTATTAATATTATTGTAACTGTACATAACTTTGCCTATTTTTAGGTGCTATTAGAATGTAAGTCCCCATAAAGACTGCTATGCAATTATTAATTATTATTAATTAAAAACTTTCAACTTAACTATATTAATAATCAAAATTACGGTCTTCAGGATGCCAATCTT